AGGACTCCCTGCAGCCAAGAATTCTAGGGGAGCGCCTGATGCGAGGTGAGGAGTATAGAGGCATGCCTTGTGTTGGTGCACATGCTTTACTGTGTTTTTAACAAATTGAAGGTCTGTGGCAACTCTGCCTCGAGCAAGTCTATTAAGTTCATTTGCCCAATGGCATGTGCTCACTTCATGTTTCTATGCCACATTTGGGTGATTCTCATATTTCAAACATTTTCATTATTATTATATCTGTTATGGTCATCCGTGATCAGTTATCTTTGATGTTACTATGTTAATTGTTTTGGGACACCACAAACTGCAGCCATCTAAGTTGGAGAACGTAATCCATAAATGCTGCGTGTGTTCTGACTGCCCTGTAGACCAGCTGTTTCTTTGTCTCTCTCTCTCTCCTCGGTCTTCCAATTCCCTGAGACAACAATATTGAAATCAGGCCAACTGATAACCCTACAATTGGCCTCTAAGTTTCAAGTGAAAGGAAGATTTGTATATCTCTCAGTTTTGTGGGTTTTTGTTTGTTTTTGAGATGGAGTCTCACTCTGTCACTCAGTTGAGTGCAGTGGCGCAATCTTGGCTCACTGCAACCTCTGCCTCCCAGGTTCAAGCAAGTGTCCTGCCTCAGCCTCCTGAGTAGCTAGGATTAAGGCACCCACCACCATGTCCACCTAATTTTTGTATTTTTAGTAGAGATAGGGTTTTACTATGTTGGCCCGGCTGGTCTTGAACTCCTGACCTCAAGTGATCCACCCGCCTCAGCCTCCCAAAGTGCTGGAATTACAGGCATGAGCCACCACGCCCCACTACATCTCTCAGTTTAAATCAAAAGCTACTAGTGATGAGCCTCAGTGAAAAAGGCACATAGAAAGCCAAGATATGCCGAACAGTTTTCCAAGTTATGAATACAAAGGAGAAGTTCTTGAAGAAAATTAAAAGTGCGACTCTAGTGAATACACTAATGTTAAGAAACAAAACAGCTTTCTTGCTAACATGAGAAAGTCTGAGTGGTCTGGATAGACGATGTAACCAGCCACAACATTCCCTTCAGCCAAAGTCTAACTTAGAGCAAGGCCCTTACCCTCTTACACTCTGTGGAGGCTCAGAGAGGTAAAAAAGCCGCAGAAGAAAAGCTGGAAGCGAGCAGAGGTTGGTTTATGAGGTTTTTTTTTTTTTTTTTTGAGACGGAGTTTCACTCTTGTTACCCAGGCTGGAGTGCAATGGCGCGATCTCAGCTCACTGCAACCTCTGCCTCCTGGGTTCAAGCAATTCTCCCGCCTCAGCCTCCCAAGTAACTGGGACTACAGGCACACACCACCATGCCCAGCTAATTTTTGTATTTTTAGTAGAGACGGGGTTTCACCATGTTGACCAGAATGGTCTTGATCTCTTGACCTCGTGATCCACCCGCCTTGGCCTCCCAAAGTGCTGGGATTACAGGCATGAGGCAATGCGCCCGGTGGTTTTTGAGGTTTAAGGTACGAAACCATTCTGTAACATAGAAGTGCAAGGTGAAGCAGCAAGTGATGATGGAGAGGCTGCAGTAAGTTATCTAGGAGACCTAGCTGAGATCATTGATGAACCTGGCTACACTAAACGACAGATTTTTAATGTAGAAAAAACAACCTTCTATTAGAAGAAGATGCCATTGAGGACTTTCATAGCTAGAAAGGAGACAATTCAATGCTTAGCTTCAAAGTTTGATAGGACACGCTGACAACTAGGTGCTGATGAAGCTGGTGATTTTAAGTTGGAATCAGTGCACATCTACTCTTATAAAAATCACGGGACCCTTAAGAATTATGCTAAATTAACTCTGCCTGTGCTGTATAAATGGAACAAAGCTGGGATGATAGAACTGCTGAATACATCATGGATTACTGAATATTTTAAGCCTGCTGTTGAGACCCACTGCTCAGAAAGAAAGATTCCTTTACAAATATTACCGCTCATTGACAATGCACCTGTTCACCCAAAAGCTCTGATGAAGATGGGCAAGGAGATGAATGTTGTCTACATGCCTGATAATACAACATTCATTCTGCAGCCCAGGATCAAGGAGTAATTTCTACTTTCAAGTCTTTTCGAAGGCTAGATAGCTACCATAGATAGCTATTCCTCTGATAGATCTGGGAAAAGTAATTTGAAAATCTTCTGGAAAGGATTCACCATTCTAGGTACCATTAAGTACATTTGCCGGCTGGGCGTGGTGGCCCATGCTTATAATCCCAGCACTTTGGGAGGCTGAGGTGGGTAGATCACCACCAGCCTGGCCAACATGGCCATTTCTACTAAAAACACAAAAATTATCTGGGCTTGGTGGTGCACGCCTGTAATCCCAGCTACTCAGGAAGCTGAGGCAGGAGAATTGCTTGAACCTGGGAGGCAGAGTTTGCAGTGAGCAGAGATCACGCCATTGCATTCCAGTCTGGGAGATAAGAGTAAAACTCCAAAACTCCATCTCAGACACACACACACACACACACACACACACACACACACACACACA